ACTAATATTGATACCTTAATATGACCATTGATATCGTTAGGGTCTCTTTCGTCGAGATCGAGTTCCATTTTTAAGTCTTAGACATGAAATGTTCAAAATGATCTAATTCCTAATAAGTATCACTTTTATACTAGGTAAAATGTCTCTTTGTTTTAAAACATTGCTTTAACTGGCATGGAACGATATTCTTTTGTATCATTGCCAATTATATTTTGTTTATATTGAGAGCAATTTTGTATGTTCCAACAAAAGTGTTTCAGTCGTATCTTAATATTTTTGACTGTAAGTGTTTCACCATATATTTAAAACACTTCGCAGTGTAATGCATGCGCCGATCTAGAGAAGGGGGGGAGGTCCGGAACCCCCCCCCCCCCTGGAATTTGCAGAGTTATTAAACGTATACACTGAAGCAATTAAAAAAGGGCTTTGGAGCCCCCCTAGAAAACGTGGACCCCACCATCATCACTTTTCACGTTTGGGAAGTGGATTTTAGGTTTTTTTTTTTTTATTATTTCCTTGTCAAGAAAATTTTGGGTTGGAATGTTTTTTAGACTGGAGTGGACACCCCTGGAAAAAATTCCTGGATCAGCGCCTGTAATGAGTTACCGAGTAAGGTGAAGGCGGGGGCGTGGGGTCCGTCAAAGGGGGGCTATCTTGACCTAGATTCTCAGTTTCTGAACATTATCTTACAAGACAAATTCCGATCCCCAATGTCACGCGTTTAATAAAGTATTAATCATTTTCTATCCAGAAATTTGTGTCAGATGAGTTGGGGTTCAAGCCTCGACATTTTATATTGCGTTGTTTACTGCATCGCAAACCACGGTCAAAATGTACAATTCTCTCCCATTCTGGTAGGTGAGAGCAGCTCAGCTATATGCGGACTCCGGACCGTGGCTTGAGACGATGTGTTTACTGCTTGAAAATAGAAATATCTAAGTTACATCTTTGATGAACATTATGATTATTAAGTATCAGTCCATGTAAAAATCAGACAAAAGATGATACATGTACATGGGGTTTCTCAGAAAAGCAAATCCCTAGCAGCCGTTTTGGTCTTTTTTGATGGATGATGGACGAAAAAACACTGACTTTAAAAGCTAAATGAAAATATTACACTAGAGAAAGTGTAAGCACTGGACTCAAAAAACGAAACATCCCGCTCCCATATTAGTATTATGGAAAAGTCCATTTTCTTGCTATGGGAAAGTCAAAATATCTGTCCTACCAAAACATAAAGTACACGGTGGCACTGTGTAATAAAGATTTTGTGAAAGTATCATTAAATTTTATTCAGTGGTATATGGGGAGTTGTAGATACAGCTGTAAATGATGTGCACCCCCCAATATTATGGAAAAAATGAAAGGGTCTATAATTTGCCATGGGAAACCCGAAATATATGTCCGATCAAAAAGTAAAATAGGAGATGCACAATGGCCTTATTTATCAAAGATTCTGTGAACGTTTATAAGAGGAGTTTCGGATAAGAGCGTAACAGACGTATACAGATAGACGGACGGACACCCCAATCACTACACATCCCCACCACCTGCTTTTCAAGAATTGTTCTTTGTTTATACAAGCAGAATGTTTTTTGTCAAGATTCCATAGTAACCATGACCCAAAACATTTTTCATTATGTACGAATGAATTTTTTAAGGAAAACCATCGAAGTTCTGGAAACTCTCATGTGTCACTTTCATGTCCATTTTGTCTGAGTTTTTACATGGACTGGTACATGTACTTAAATCGTGAACAGCTTACTTCAATGTACTTCACTCATGAATTATACTAATTTAAGTTTTACGAGAGAAATTAATTGCACAAACTCATTTTCTAGTGGAGAAAAGGGAAAGTGTTTGATTACTCCTTGAAAATGGTGCAAGTTTTAACTAATAGTAGACCTTTCAAGTTGCTCAAAGCCTTGTAACTACATGTAACGTAAAGGCTTATTATTCTAGATAAACATTTACTTTGCTATAGTTTGAAGTTTGGTCAAATCATATACAATAATTTCTTTGAAAATGATATCAGTACAGTGCCACCCAAATACCACTGACGAATATTGGTGCAGTGTCTAAGTCATAAAGTTATGCATATTTTTTTTAAGATAATCCTCTGTACTGTAGAAAAAAAAAGAAAAACAAAACAAAAGAAAAAAAAAACTAGTATAAGATTTTGGTTATTATGCCGACAAGTATTTGGTCAAAGTAAATTAACTTTGTTGTGAAAACCCACTGATATTTAAATATCAAAAATTAAAAAAATATATTGAGCTAATTAACTAGCACATGAAAGAGGGTGTTGCATGCAGTTCTTTTGTTATATTCCCTAAAGTTGTAGCAGTTTAAAAGAAAAATTTAAAGTAACAGAAAACGGTCTTAATTTTTTTCAGATACAACGATATATACAGCACAATGTAGAACAATATTTAGAAACTTCATATCGACTTCCAATTTGCTATTAAATGAAGTGTAAATTAGTCACATAGCAAAATAAGTCAAGTTTTCTGTTTTTCACATAGGGAATCCCCATTGTTCTGAAAAACTGCCTCCTTGAAACAGAATGAATTTGGTATAAAGAGACAGGATTTTTCTTCAAAACTGCCATTTCCGATTTTTGTTTCAAAGAGGCATATTTTTGAAAATCACAAAAATCGAATAAAATTTTTAACCATCCGAAATGCAAAATGTGCACATAAAATAGCTCATGATATCTCACTGTCGGAGCTGGTCCAGTGGTAAAGCGTGTGGACTCTAAGCAATGTTTCTTTTACCTGAGAATGGGTTCGAATCCTGGAATGGTTGGTATATATATATATATATATATATATATACATTTTATTTCCTATAAAATGGAAATGAAATACAATGTAACATCTCTCTTGAGAGAGAAAGAAGGAGGGAGAGAATGTCAGAAAGTTAATGGGTATTACCGGTATTTTAAATGCATGCAGAATTAAATTGTTTTCCTTGATATTATGATCTAAAACTAATAAGACATATATTTAATGTTATCATTTATTAAAAAATAAAGTACTATTTTAAATAATTTAATTTTTTCATACGCATTTCGTTTCATTATTGTTCTGTTAATTAGTGGCTCAGATTTGACTTGAAACAACTAAATTGAAATGACTCAACAGCTCAATGGAATTTCTTGGATATTGCATCAACAGCGTGATTATTGGACACATTTTATATATTGAAAAATATTAACGCACGCTATCTACAATACATCTTTCAAAATGATCTGCGAGGTGCACTTGATATTAAATGGCATTAATTGTGCTATTTATCGTTTAACTTTTCTCGTGCAATATGGCGACAGTGATCATAGATGTGAAAATAGTTTATTTAGAGGTCGCCAGTCTATGCTAGGAAAAAACTATGCATGAAATAAACGTAAAATGTGAAATGTTTTGTTATAACAAGCTTGACATACCCGTCGTATAAGTAAAGTCATCTACGTACAAAGCCGTAGGAACCGGGGGGGGGGGGGGTCACTGGGGGGGGGGGGCGTCCCCCCCCCCCCCAATAATTTTGTCGATATATAGATTACTATAGAAAACATAGCTACTATATCCTTGTGCCCCCTCAATAAAAACGTCTGATGACCTTTTTTTTTTTTTTTTTTTTTTTTTTTTGCTTGTCAAGGAATTTTTGGTTGATAGTGCCCCCTCAACTGAAAATGTACGGCTGTGCCCCCCCCCCCCACCCCCCAAACTGAAATTGCTTCCTATGGGCCTGACGTAGCATTATCTAAATTTAGAGATAACTCTTCATGCGTCGTGGGTATTTTAATGTCCTTCTTGATTTAGGGAATAATCACGAGTTTCTACAACACCCTCTTTGTAATTAACCTTATTTTACTCATACACACCATTAAAAGTCAGGGATTTAAATTTTATGGACCCCAGTTCTAGTTAATAAGCCTTGCCTTTTTTCTAGGGTATCATTTTTCATGAAGATATTTTAAATTAAAGATATGAATGTGTTTTGGTTTTCCTGTTTGTTAGAAACAAGACACAACTACTTAGTAACTCACGCAATGTCAACAAAAAAGCTTGGAAGTCAAATTCTGATGACGGTTTTTCTCTATCAATGGAGACCAATGGAAATGACATTTTGAATATAAAATAATATTCATTTACTAAACAATTACACCTCATAAATGGATTTGATTCATTTATTGAATTGATACCTGATTGGGGCTTTTAATGAAGCATACTATATTTTTTATATATTTTGTGAAAAAAATATTTTCAATATACCCCTTATTTTCTTTTTAGTATGAATTACATGGTAATGAGTTTCACCTATTAATTTGAAATTAGATTTAACATATAAAGAAAGTACTCTGATTTTTGTTTATGCCGAGGCCTCAAATTTAGTTCATGCAGGTTGTAGTTGACGATATAGATTTCGGTTTAAAATCAATGTTGTATGGTATCACGCTTGCACTTTTATTTTTTAAACAAGTTCAGTCTAAAGCTGATCATATACAACAGTAAAGGTCTATTGATGTTTTTCCTATTATACTGAAGAATATTTTTCTTGTCGATATTTTAACTAACGTTAATTTTATGGAGTCTTACGTATATGATTTTTATATTAATCATTCTTACACCAATTACAATTTCGGGGTAAAATTTTCATCAGAGATTTAAATTTGATTTAGGAAAAAGTCGGAATTCCTTTGGAGTTATTCTACTTCTACAGTGTGACTCTGTCGAACACATGTGCTTTGATTTCCAGACAATCATACCCACAACAAATGTAAAAATTCCAGTACAGAATATTGCATACCTCACAAACGACACTATTTCTCACATATTTTTAATTCTGTTGGTAATAATTTCTTTTTTGTTGGCAATTAACACTGCTGAGCAAAAGGTTATACATTAAACACACATTTACTTGAATATTTTACTTTTCATTATCAATAAGATTAAAGAAAAAGACATTTTAGTTTTATTCAGTGAATAAAATCAGGTCAAAAGTCTGTTTTATTACAGAAATATACATAGAAACAAGGTATTTCATTATAAGATTTTTTTCTTTACAGACAAAATCTAAATAGACCATGTTATTCCCAAGTCAGAATTCTTCTATGTAGAATGAACAGAAAATGTGTAAATTACAAAAGTGTCACAGACGTAGAATATGGCACAGCTTTCCGATTTTCTTTTTCATGTCAACTATTTTTTACTGTTATCTGGCTAAAAAACAAACCAGCTGTCTCGCAAATTGGTGCCAGACAACAGGATATACATGTACCAAAGAACTTTTGTAGGCAGCCGAAGTAAATTCCACAGACCCTGAGCCATGGGGTGGTGCACCAGATTTGTTCAAATGAGATACATGCGAACTCGCAGCCCCAGTATAAGGCTATGAAGATCCCGCACAGGCCTGTCAGGAGTGTGTAACAGCAGGCTTTACCTCCCTTGAAGCACATAGCACTTGTTCTCCAAACACAGTCGGGACTGTGGGATCCATCAGGTTCCCCAAGGACGTCCTCAAATGCGGTCTGGCAGAAAAATAGAATAAGATACAATTATATATTCTTTGTTATTTTAAAAAAGTTTAAAAATGAATTAAAAAAAAAATAAAATGGAAATTTCTTTGGGGGGGGGGGGGCGGGGCAGAAAGTTGCAGTACAGTGAAGTACAGTGTATTTTACTTAAATTTTTTAATCCCGAAAACATGTTATCATCTGTCATTTACCCAAATGATGTTTACATGCAATTCTAACACAGTTATTGACGAGATCAAAGAAATGCCGCGGACATTATTCTCCAATAAATCACGAACGTCATCAAAAAATTATCAGATCAGAAACATGTCAAACCTGTACAGTTGAAATAAATATTTCAATGTAGATTCTAATACTTATTTAGACCATATCGATGTGTCGTCTTACGCAGTCTAAATAGTGTGTATTGCCTGAAACAGCTGATAAATATCCTTTTTATAGCCAGGTCGGGTTGTTGGAACCACGGACCTCCACACAACATTTACACTCCGTGATTTTACTGATAAAGCAGTGAAATAGACAACTGATTTTGTTATTTTACATTCATAAAAAAAAATTAATCAATACATGTTACAAACAAATTTATAAATAATTAAAGGATATTTTTAATCGAACGAAAGCTGAAACCGTCTGCATTTTATGCAATCGATACACAAGTAAACAAACAAATTGACTCTGGTGTTAAATGGAACAGCAAAATCGCGACATGGTGACCCAATTCGTTTCTCTATAGAGAAAACGATCAGCCAAATTTCAGAGCTGTTAGTAGAATAGAAATAAAGTCCTTGTTGTCGTGAATGATGCAGGATAACCTCCTCGGTCTCGAAAAATCAGTTAATTTATATGCACATCTCATATTGCAGTCCATCAATTGCTAACATTCATATTCACCAACTTGTATAGTAAATGCCAAAATTTTGAAAATGTCATATTTTCAATCAGTATATCTTGTTTATTTCTATATTCTGTATGTATCAATTTTTTCAGTATTTTTTAATATTCATCACTTAGTTATTTTTTTTTTACCTGTACATGTTTGTTGAGATCATTTGGATCCCTTCTGGACAAATCCACATCCTTTTCAAGATCATCCATTTCGAAAATATAACCAAAATTATTGCTTCAAGATTTAGCAAAGGAATCCAAAATCTTTGTCTGTAAGGATTGCATTTTGGACTTTGCATTTATACCTCGGTGAAGTATAATTGCTATGGAGATAGTATAGTTGTCTTAATTAGTTGACGGTTCTGAAATTACGTAATTGTCAACTAGAAATTTACTGAATACAGGTCTTTGTGCAACCATGAAATTATTTCAAGTTGTAACTTTAAGTGCCTATTATAAGATCAGTTTTCATTTGTGAATTGATGGTAAGACGAGATATAATTATCAAAGAAAACCACTGTAGTAAGTGACATCCATTAGGAAAAATTTGTTTAAAATCTTTTAATGAAAGTTAAATGTTGCGGTAAAAGTCTTTATTTTAAATTCTTAGGGAAAAAGTTTTAATAATCTTTTTAATTCTATTGAAATCGGTTTTTAAAAACAATGAAATAATTTAGAATAACTAGAATGTTCCTAGGAACGCATGTGTCGCCTGGTTGTAGCTTCATTAAAAATGTAAATAAATCTAAGAGTGGTCAGCTATTTATTTACTACTAGCAATAGTTCATGCACATGCCTGCCAAAAAAAAGCATCCAATACCGCGTTAGAATCATCTGACAATCAAAGAAAACATGGTTCCCCTACCGTCAAATATATTAAATTGAAATGATTAGAAATAATTATTATTTAAAACTATTAGAATTGGTTTTTGAAAACGATGAAATAATTTAGATTAAAAATTACATGTACATATAATTCCAATTTTAGATTACATCTTTTATGTATTTCCGATAACAACATGTCTTTAGATTCTCAAGATATCCTATTCTAAATAGAATTCTACCGTAATTATTCCCAGTAAATTAAATAAAGGTGGTATTCAAAAAAGATCTAAAAATTCTTTACAGAATTTTCCTTTTCCTCATTTACAGGAAACAAGTGTAAATTTATACATGTATATGTAATCCGGTGTATTGTTAAAATTTCATTTATTTTCTGCAATTATTAATATAACATATATGTAAGCGGTTTTGTGAATTGTGATATTTAAAGCTGCATGCTTGTTGTTCGAAGGATTCGTTTTGCAAGTATATTTGCTGTATGAAACAAAATAACAGTCCACAACAAAACTTTCAAATTAATTTTTTTTTTGTAATCTACTATTTATATAAATTGTAATATATTCATTCAATGTAGAAGACACACATATTTTGTGACCTGTATTGTCATAAGGAGGGCATACCACGTTATTGTATTAGGTTATTTGAAAAACAATCGTTTTTAATAAACATTGCAGATATTCTTAAAAAGTGGTATAACAAGAAAGCTTTTTTTTTAGATATGCGAATCCTGTCCTATAACCATTTACCAACATTTACAAAGCGAGATAAATCTTTGTACATAAACAAAAGATAAGAAATATATCATATGTATGTATAAAAAGATTTATTAAAGAAGACAATTTTGATAAAAACTGTTTTTTCGATACACATTAATCACAGACTTGAGAGGAATGTCACATTTTAATCCAAAATAAGAGGTTAACAATTATTTATTTGAAACAGTTATTCTGCTAAACATGAGACCACATGTCTCACAGATTGGCGCCATACAGCACGTGACGATCGTGCCAAAGAACTTTTGAGCACATCCCATGTAGATGCTGAAGATTCTTAGAGAAGGTGTGATACACCAGACTTGATCAAAGGTGATGAAGGCAAACTCACAGCCCCAGTATAGGGCAATGAAAATCCCACAAAGTGTGGTCATCAATTTGTAGCAGCAGTTCTTTCCGCAGTTGAAGCAGAAGAAACTGGCTTTCCAGACACAGTCGATACTGTGGGCACCATCGGGCTCGGCCAAAACGTCCTCAAATGCCACCTGAAGTCCATTAAGAAACAAACATAGCAAAATTTAGTTCATCAATTTCTTTAAGATATTTTATTTACTCTTTACAGATAATTAACTACTTATAGTAATGGGAAAGACAAATATGACCAAAATGCAATATTTTACTATTAAAATTCTAAAATGATTCTTCGTATAAAATCAGCGTTGACCTTATACAGATTCTCGGAGATAATCAGATGAAATCTTTAAATGCCCCCGATTTCCTAATTATTGTGATTTTTTAAAAAGACTAGTTAGGAAAACAACAAACAAGCAAAAACGTATGCTAGCATATCTTTCATTTTTTGTACAAGTTTTGTTGGAGTTTAATGCATAGTTACAATATATAAATTTGTAAAAGAGACTTGCTTTCTATTTGCGTGTTTCTTTGAGCAAAATAAACACTAGCACTTTTTTTTTTTAAATGGGAGAACAAATTCAGAATATTAACAGGTTATTGACATTCTGTTGATTCATACGTTGTCACTTAAAAGAAATTTATGTTTGTGACTGTTATGGGATTTTAATTATGAATTTTTGCATAGGTTAGAGTAGAATCCAAAAAGGAATTCGAAAAGACCCCCCCCCCTTTTTTTTTTTTACAATGCAGTGGAATTTAATGCCCATCATGGTCACCTCTTGTTTCAAACGTTACATTTGACCTCACTCATTTTTTTAATTAATATATTATTCCTAGTATTTATAAAGAATTTTTTTAAAGAAATTAAAAAAAAATAGTACATGTATCATTGATATAGAGTGGAGAAAATGATTTACACGTTGAAATGTTAAAAATGAACAATTTTGAAGACTGAAAAAAAATTAATAATTCTAGATTTGTACAAAGCCTACCTTGACGTGTGCATTTAGACTATTTGGATCCCTGTCGATCAAATCTAGTTCCTTTTCTTGTGACATGCTGACAATAGCCTCCTGTCTTAAAAATGTTTTTCAATTAACTTTTATAGATTCAAGAAAGAAGAAACCTTTTACTCACTTATACAAATATACTCATATGAATTACATATAAATGTGCTAAAAAATAAATATTTTTTTCACAAAGACAAGGAGAAGACGAATAAACGACAATTAAATAATTTCCTGACGGAAAGTTGTTATTTTGCAGCAAAGAGCTAACCTCTAACCGATCCAAAAGCCCACCAAATAAGCTACGGCTTACAGTACAATATGTTTTATTTCTAATTTTCAGTAACTATCATTTAATAACCTTCCGTCGTCAAAACATCTCCGAATGTCATCTAATATTATAAAAGGTATAAATTTTTTTAGTGCAGTTAACAATATATCATTTGAATTTGAGGAGGAAATCAATAAGGTATTCAGCTCCTTGATAATCTTAACGCTTAGTTGAATCTCAGTTAAGCATTCATTAATATACATATATCCCTGCTTTTGACATAAACTGGTTGAGTAGACAAATGTCCTGTTCAATTTCTTTCATCACACGAAATTTTGACATAATAAATACCTACGATTCGAAAGAAATTTAAAAAGTAAGCATGAGAAATATTGATTTTTTAAAAATTCATTTCTTGTCCTTTTCTGAGATGTAAATAAAAAAACTGTTTGTAAGCAAGATGAAAACGTATAATGAATTATAAGAAACACTCCAGAGATGAATATATTATTACATAGAAAGGATCAAATACTGCACTGCACTTTCTATTTCATATATGAAATCACTTGAAGGCAAGATCAAAAAAGTTTCAAAAGTTTATTTATAATATCTACTTTTCATTGAAGTTGATATCAAATTTATAAATATAATTGTATACATAATTAAATACAATTGGAAATGAGTCTACTAGAATAGAAAAATTTTATATTGTTTAAAGCAAAGTTAACATCACATATGTGATCCCACTATTAATGACTCACTTCTACAGGTTTGTTAGAAAAAGGGCCTGAAAGAACAGTTATTATGCTCAATAGTCCAATTAAACAATAGATTGTGATCAAAGCAAACAAGAACCTCATAAAACATCAGAGGTGGGATCAGGTGCTAAGGAGTAGTAAGCATCCTCTGTCGACCGGTCACACTTGCTGCAAGCCCCTTGTCATGAAAATGCTTTAATCGTACTAAAGGTTAAAAATTATCCGAGTTTTGGATTTTATTTCTTAGTGGTGACGTAGACCAAATCATTGTTTTTTTTATTTAATCAGTTAATTTTCAAAGCTCTTATAAAGTCTATATTTATACGAGTTCATAATGACTGATAACTGTCATTTTTGAAATGTTAAATGCAAGTTTGAAAATAAATCCCATTAGGGCAAGCCGTTTTACCATCTATTAAAAAAAATAGATACTTTTAAGGTAATTTTTTTTGTATAAAAATAGTAAATTGGCTTGCCACTTTATGGTTTTTATATAAATTGATTTAAAAAAAAAAGAAGAAGTATTTTTTGTGGTCAGGAAGATTAAACACAGAGAATTAAGTGTCAGTTCACATTGATGTGTGTTATGATTTGTATAATAGGATCGATGATTATTTGTTATCTTCATATGCACCTTTCACATCTTCATGCAGTGGGAATATAATTTACCAAAACACAATTTTTACGTCAACAAGAATACCAATGTAATTTGCTCTAGAGTCGCGGAGTAAGGAGTTGATCCGGATTTGAATCCGCTGTTTGAGGTGGAGACCGGTCCTTCGGATGAGACCTTATAAACCGAAGTCCCGTGGCTCAGATGGTGCTGGCATTAAACAGATCCCTCACTGCTCAAAGGCCTTAAGTGCTGAGTACAGGTCAAAATTTGTAGTCTCCACCGCATTGTGGCGTCTCAAAATGAGTACTGAAAAGTTCTCGAATGTAACAAACAAACAAACAATTAATTTAAAGAAACTACCATTTGATACACTGCTTTGTTAAGGTATTCGCCGCTGTAATTTTATTCAAACTATGCAGTTGGTAATATAATACTCTTCAGGATATATTTACTAGCAAATGCAAATCTACGGTGACAATGCTTATTCCGACACCTTCACGTGTTGTTAAATCTCCGAAACACACTGAAAATCAATGCTCGCATAAAGACCATTCTTAATGTCACTATTTGAAGTTTTTATTGCACTTTTTGACTGATCAAGTGCCAAATTGTTTTACGAAAAAAACAAAAATGAAATTTTTTTGAATATTGACGCTTAAAAAAAGAAAAAAAAACCCTTATAATTCATAATTCAGTGTCAAAATAAGATTTACAAAAAGGTATGTTAATGTGCATAAACGTTAATTAAGTGTGCGGGTATGTTTCCTTTTATCCGTTTTTGAATTGACACAGAAACACAGAGCAAACATGAATATTCCCGAAAATACGCAAACATACTTGTATTTGATCTCGAAATAAGCATGGAGCAATGACAAAACAGTTCATCTCAAAAGAATGAATAACGGATTTTTTTGGTTGAATAAGTGAGAGAATAATAGAAAATTTATATACCGACAATTACTTTATTTATCTTCCTGAGTGAAACATTTCGAAATTCAGTTGCATATAGGTATGTCTATGAATTTTAAACATTTAGTGGGCATCATCTTTCCTAACTATGAAATAAACTAAAACTCATAAATCTTATTTTTAATAAATTGTATATGTTTTAGTGAGCAATGGTATGACCAGGCGGCGCAACCTCAAAATACGACTTTTTTTCTACTTGAGTCTAACGTAGAAAAATTCTATTGAAATAAGCATTTGTCGTTCAACAATCATGCTTATTCACTCATGTGGTATTAAAAAAATTGTTCTGTAGCAATTTTTACATCATTCTTTAATTTTTATGAAATATTATTAGCCCTTTTAACTGCGGTAGTAATCTTTTGCAGGGCAAAATAACAACATTTGTTGAAGGTTTTGATGACAGATAATTAAATGACGTATATTAAACAATTACTTTTACTTTTACTTTATCGTGAAAGTCTAATAACTGCGGTAATGCTCTTTTACAGGGCAAAGTGATATATTTTGGTGAAATATGACGTAAAAGTAATTGTTTAATATACGTCATTTAATTATCTGTCATCAAAAACTTCGCCAAATGTTGTTATTTTGCCCTGCAAAAGATTAGTACCGCAGTTTTCGTGAAAAGGCTATTTATATGGAATGTCCAAACAATTGAGGGGTTGAAAATGACGTCAGAAGGGGAGGGTTGTCTTTTCCCCCTATTTCGTAAAGTTTTGCTCCTGGATAAACTGGCTGTTAAAATAGGCTACAGAGAAATAAAATGCATCCGAGTACCTGTTTCTAAAATGCCGAAAATGATTCAGAAGGAAGAGAAGCGATTGTCGATTTGTATTCCCAGTGTAATAAGTCAGGCACGTCAAAAAGTTGTTCAAGTGGGGATGTGACATGGAACTCCGACAAGCAAATTATGCTGGCATAATCAAATGAGTATTTTTCCAAATGTTTAGATCCATTTATAATATTACCTGTTTCTTATTACCTGTTCATGACATTATAATGTCATATAACGAGACTGGTTTCAGTCTTTACTTAACTCCAGGGAACCTCATCAAGAAAATGGTTTCGATGCAGAGCGAGCGGACGTTGAGAAACAATGACATGATCGGACGTTATGACTTCAACGGTGACAGCACCGGGTGATGATATGATGTCTTTTATATTTCTTGATTATTTGGCAAATTATTAAAGTACCAAGCTAAAATTTTTCAACAATTCTTAAACCTTTGTTATTTTATGTTCCTTATAAATTTTATAAGCACCAACTGCATAGTATTAATTTTATCGAATCTGTCCACGAACTTTTTGATAACCCCTCGTACATAGTTGTATGTGTACCAGTATTCTTTTAGTTCTATTTTTGTCATCACTGTAGTTATTTGTCCAAGGTTTGGCTAGTGTTTAGACCGAGGCTTAAGTTTTATTTTCCTTTTTTATATTCAGACCTCAAATTATTAACATTTTACAAACAGACATTAATGTGTCACTATGCAGCAGATAATGGTCTATTATTTTGTATTGCTTTGCATGATAAAAAGCTAATAGTTCTATTCCCAGTTAGCCATAGATAATTGTAAAATGTACGAAATTCGAGTGTTTCTTTTAGCTATTTTAATAAGAACTTATAACACAGCAATAGATTTCATAACTTCATTTCGGGTAAATTCTTTACTCATATATTAATAATGAAAATGAGGATACTTTTAATTTGCTTTTTTTCTTAACTCGAGTTTTATTATAATGACTTGTATTATTTACTTTTATCCCTACAAACCTCAAATGCATTCGGTTTTCCATGAATAGGTTTTAACAATTTTTATCACAGTACAGTGATCTTATCGTTAATAATATAGATAAAGTTTTAGTTGACTTGAAGCTTCAATTCTATTGAAAGGTTTAAGAAACCACAATTGACTTAGGTAAACCCAAAAACTTTGGAGTTCGAGCAACTCATGACTCATACTCCGGAAGAAGAAGAATGACAATCGATCCTACAGATCTGATTAAGTGACAACATAAAAAAAAAGTACAATCTGTATTTTTGTCTAAAAACGAAAGGGGTTTATAACAATACAGGGAATTAAATTATCAATTATAAATGCTTTAAAAATAAATAAAATGTTTTGTTCACATATATCATAGTCACTCTTAAACTTAAGTATTTTTTACAGTTATGCTGCTAAAAAACAGTCCACTCGTTTCACAAATTGGCGCCAAACAACAGGAGACGCACGTTCCGAAGTATTTTTGAGCACACCCCATGTAGATGCTAAAGATTCGGAGGGAGGGTGTGATACACCAGACTTGATCAAAGGTGATGCAGGCAAACTCACATCCCCAGTATAGGGCAATGAAAATCCCACAGAGTGTGGTCATAAACTTATAACAGCAGTTTTTACCGCAGTTAAAGCAAAAGTAGCTGAGGTTCCAGACACAGTCAATACTGTGTGCACCATCCGGCTCGGCCAACACGTCCTCAAATGCCACCTAAAACACGAAATATGAATGCTTTAACAATAAATCTAGAAAAAAACATTATTTCATAGCGTATTTAAATACGATATTTAGTTATTCTGTGATTTGTTGAGATAAAAATATGCTAGCCCAAGAATTCTTTAGAGGATTCAAATTCGACTACAACGTATATACTTAACACCAATGAATTATGCTTCTTTTAAATTTTATTTAGTCAAAGTGATAACTATGATTTAAGATCAAATCCATTGAAATCGACATTAATTGTATTGGTTAATTTTAATCAATTCAAACATATTAGCATTTTAATAGGCCAAGATAACTAGACTGAAAACCTTATTTGCATGGATAGTAGAATTCTTTTATAAAGAACTTGCTTTAAAAAGAATTCTCGGTGATATGCATTTTTTAAATCCCGTATATGACTTTACATTATATACTCCTTATCCGGATATGCAGAATCTCGGTTATGAGAAATCAAAATTCCATGGACTTCCTTATAACCGAGTTTAGCTGTATTTTTCCCACTTAAGTAAACAATAGTGATTTCTATTCATCAATAGCTGTCTTTAAACATTTTCCTGGGGGGGGGGGGGGGATAATGCCATGCACTCAGTGTTAAAAATCAATTTGATGAGCTCAAATTTTAGACTTGTATAAAATATCCTTTTTCTCAATGGTTAAAGATTTAAAAAAAAAAAAAAAAAAAAACAGAACAATTTCCTTTTGTTTATAGAGGGTTCTTAAGTCAATCTAATTTTAATACTTTTTTTACTCCATTTTCTTTTTAAAAATTTATTTCTACGACACACGAGGAAAATATTTTAAGAAATAAACCCTAAAAAATGAAATCAATTTGACTTATTTTTTTAATTTTACTTTAGAAACAAACTTCTTTAAAAAAAATGTTTAACAGAAAACTGACCTTGACATGTGAATTGATTTGGTTAGGATCTCGATCGACCATATCTAATTCCTTTGTTTGCTGTGACATTTTCCTACTTTGCTTCTTTTCTCTTACGTTTGAGGGCTCCGTCCCAGTCCTCCTGTAATGTAGCCTCAGATAGAAAATGTTGCATTAAATATTTGTTTTTCTTAAATCATAGTAACGACACCATCAACAAATTTTCAAAGTTTTGTCGTTAAGGATATCATTTTAATGTAACGTGGTTGATGATATCTCCAATTTTATTACTTTTCATCAAATAAGTATTCCAGGCGTATTGCGGCACACGTTTAAAATTTGTGTTTAAAATACAGACTTCATTCTATCAATAATTTGTAATGAATACAGTGTATTTTAATTTCTTGGTTAGAATTCTTATACCATCTTTTTCTTTTTCCCTCAACCATTCTTACTCCTCAGTCACCTTGTGAGGAATTGGTACATCAGCATCCCTTTGCATGATCAGAATAGACGACTTAAATGAATGGTTATTGTAGATAATCTCAGAATCTGAGATTCCGAGTCACATGCTCATTGCGGATTAAAAGGCACCTCAGCACCGGACATATTCTTTTACATTATGTCAGGTACCAAGTTAGGCTCTGTTAAGTGTTTATTGAAATCGTAAAAGTTTAAATAAAAAAAGTTACGCTTTATTACGTGTACAGTTTGAATAGATTTAAGTACATTATGAATGAGAATTAATATGTTTAACGTGATGATGCACGCTTTCAATGAAAATTGAAGTCTTCAAACAATTTCAGAAACTCTATTATTTTGAAAAAGTACCACTAAGAATTCTTGACTATTTCCAAATTAGATTTTCAAAGTTTTAACCAAAGTGCTCAGAGGTACATGAATACCAAATCTTCCCGTGATTTTTAAATGAAATAAGGTTCTTATTCTTCATTTAACTTTTATTCATTTTAAGATTTCATGTAATCCAAATTACATTTGAAATTCCCAAACATTTAGTTCTGAAAAGAAAAAAAGAGCAATTCTTCGACTGAATAAAGTCTCTATGCCAAACTGTGGAAGTCATGTGCCCAACCCCTCTAAATGGCTTATGCTCAATAAGAGGAATTGATGTGTTATATATCATTGCATGTAACTATATTGATTAATTTGTCTTCACTCTAAACGTGATCGGAAGGTCGTAGGTTCAAACCCCGGCAGCGACTCCCCTAATTCGGTAAAAAAAATAAGTAGCAACTGTTCCTTAGCCAAGTGTTCGGCAACTTAAAGATAGAGTGACTTGACCTTAACAATTCAGGCCTCGTATCACGACAGGTGTTGGCACGATAAAGATCCCTCACTGCTCAATGGTCCTAAGTGCAAAGTAAAGGTCTAAATTTATAAATTTATATAAATGATAAATACTGCCTTGTCCCTAACTGTAAGAAGAATATAATCTTTTTACTTTTAAAAAGAAAACACAATCAACCCCACCCCACCCTACTTTACGATCCGCCACTAGGGACTCTATAGTGTAAGCACAAACGCAACTGGCATAGATCCTGCTTAACCCTGTCGTGAACCCCTTGCGGCAGACGAGAAGATCTAGATCAACTAATGAGATGTACATAAAATATATCGTGACATTAACGAGAAATGTCTGCTTGAGGGTTTTGTCCAAATGCTGAACTTGATATTCTTCGTGTAGATTTCTGCATTGACAGTAAGTAAAGCATAACGATTCTTCTCAGCATAGTAAATGAGCTTTCATATTAATTGATCTTTTGAGGAAATCAGCCTTTTCTGCGCAATAACGAACATTCCAAAATACTATGGTATAGTATATCTGTCATGATGATTAAAATGTTTTGTGAAATAATGAAATACTGACGAAAAATTAGTTAATTATGTATTTATTAAATTTATTGTGTTTTGTAAAATATTTTGTTTATATCTGCCCTTTCTTTCATACAAACTTGAAGAGTGTAACGTCCATATCCTTGTAACCATTGCGCGTATATATATAAATACGGAAATATAAATATCCTTAACAATTAAAACAAGAAAAACAAGGAAATATTCGTCTATTTTTTTAATAATGTGATCATTTTAGACGGGACTTGGTATTGAAGAACACATTGCACATTAAAACAAGAAAAACAAGGAAATATTCGTCTATTTTTTTAATAATGTGATCATTTTAGACGGGACTTGGTATTGAAGAACACCATGCTCGGTGTTTCCTATCATCGAAGATGTGCGGCATGTTTTGTATTTTTACTTATTTACTGTGCCTCACATAAAGTAACGACAACTGACCCTGCTTTTCAAAATTCGGACACTGCTGCAGCCTTCACAAAAGCTAACAGAGAATTTATGTTGAGTCTCTTAAAGCAGTTACCATCTGAAACCAACATCTTCTACTCGCCTTTTAGTATTTCTACGGCCCTTGCAATGGTTCATTTGGGAGCAGGAGGAGAAACACTAAAAGAAATGAATCAAGCTCTTCATTTTGGCAAAATGGATAACATTTACTCTTCATTCAGCACGTATCTAGGATTTCTTTCGAAGGCTACTGGAAACAACACACTTAATACAGCAAACAGAATTTACCAAAGCATGAGGTTCACAGCAGAAGAATCATTTCTCCAAAGCTGTGCCAAATATTTCAATGCAACAGTAGAATCAGTGGATTTTTCCCAGTCTGAAGCGTCAAGTAAGAAAATCAATTCATGGGTAAGTCAGAAAACAGAAAACAAAATCCAAGATCTTATCCCAGCAAGTGCGTTAAGCAGCCAAACATTAATGGTTCTAGTAAATGCCATCTACTTCAAAGGAATCTGGAACAGTCCTTTTGAAACTAGGCACACGAAAAAAATGGAATTCAGGAATGGCAAAGCAAAATATATGACGGACATGATGTACCAGAAGGAATATTTTAATTTTTCACATGTTTCAGATTTGAAGTTTGATATCCTTGAGCTTCCCTACGAGGGTAAAACAATAACTATGGTCATTCTTCTCCCTACTGCTGTGGATGGCTTGGAGGCTATGGAACAGAGTTTGACCGAAACTGTTCTTAAAAACGCACTGAATAACCTATCAGAGCAAGAAGTTAAAGTGTATCTTCCGAAATTCAAAATAGAGTCTGCCTTTCAATTGAAATCTTATTTATCGGCACTGGGTATGCTATCAGCTTTTGACCCAAACAGAGCTAATTTTTCAGGCATATATAAAGACCAAGATGTATTTATGAGCGAGGTTTTTCATAAAGCCTTTGTCGATGTCAATGAAGAAGGCACTGAAGCTGCCGCAGCCACGGGAGTCGTTATAACTTTGACATCCATCCGATTCCCTCCGGAGTTTCGAGCAGATCATCCGTTTCTCTTTTTCATTCGTGATACTGTAAATGACGTCATACTATTTGCCGGAAGATTTTATGATCCAGTCAATGTTCAAGGTATTCGCGACTCGAATGGTGCCTGCGATTTAGGCAAAATGTCAAAAGAGATTAATTGCATGTTTATTCTGTTTGTATATGTTTTAAATCATATGCTCAGAAGATCTACATGAAAAATATACTTACCAAAGTTTGTAATTTGCCTGAATGATAACGGAGACACTGTGCAGTAGTGGCAGCCTCAATATGTACATGTATCATGACTTTTGTTTCTAGTCAACCAAGTCTTACCTGTGTTTAGTCGTTTCATAAATGAAACTGAAGTGTGTATATTTACATAAGCCAATGGATCATCAGTGATAAATTAAAGTATAGCTTTTACTTTATTTGCTAACATTACATGTATGTATCTTCTCTACCGTATTTTTTTTTATCTAATAAAGTTTTATAAAGTGTGTTTTTATGAAGATTTCTTTAACATGCGGCGGTGTTATTATGTTACTGTAAATATATATTCTTAACATAAAAAAACCCATCTCATTTTCATACAAAGATTACTTGAACAATATTTACATGTTATTGACTACACAAAATATTATATATTAATCTATAAATGAATCTAAAAAAGATGAACAGCACACGTTAGCAAACATGAATTCTTCAAATTCATTTGCCCAAAAAAAAAACCTTTTAGTTATAGGGTGTTACTGTTTCAACAGTGCCCCATAAAATACAAAAAAAACAAAAAAACAAAAAAAAAAAAAACACGTCTTTGATGAGTTATGTAATTTTTTTTTTGCAATGATTGCAACAATTATAATCTGTATAGCACAATAAAGAAAAACATTTTATAATTTATATCTGAATGTAATAGCAAGATGTAAAATATTATATAGTGTAGATCTTTTTTTTTGTTTTGCGAGAACTTTATTTTCGAGAAATTACGCCATACTTACTACTCGCAAAAATTTAATTCTCGCGTATATTTGTACTGCAAAAGATTCATGAAAATAATGTCTCGCTTTAAAATACCGAAGGGCCATCTCGCGAAATTTTAAAAATTGTTGCGAAAATTTTGTGATCTACAGTAATCGAGATATGAATTACTAGATCCATCTAGTTAAAAAGTAATTAATAGCTGAAATAGCAATATTGGTTTTTCATAGAAAATAAAATAAAAATATTATCAAAGGATTAAAACATTTTTCAAAGAAAATAAAACCAAACATTCAAAAATCAAATAAATCAAAGTTAACATCATGGAAAATCAAAGAGTTAACTAGAGGAAAGTTCTTTCTGATTCTACATACAAGTACTCTGAAGTTGATATTAAAAAGATGCAGGAGTCTCTCAATAACAATATCTATGTGATCTTTTGAAACCAGGTCCTCTAAAAACTGTTAGAGGATTGATGGGTACTAATTGTGTCGACCTGTTTTCATATTCCTATGAACCAGAATTTATTAAAGAAAATTCAAGGTCTCATCCGTAAGACCCAAAACTTTTACTTCAAATTAAAGTGCCGAGCGCTTGGCGAAGAAACAGCTCGTTACTACCTATTTTTTATTGACTTAGGTCAGTTGCAGCTGGGGTTTGGAACCACGACGCTCCGTGATCGGAAGATCATGGATTCATACCCCATATTTGTTTAGTATTTGGATATTTTATTGACTATACGCGTTCTATACTATACTGCATTCATTTTTTTCGCTTGTTAGATCCCATACAGCAAGATATAAACAGGTCACTGATAGCAATGCACTTGTCGACATGACGTCCATATGCAAATTTTGCCGCATTTTATGTGCAGTGATAGGCGGACCAATGAATTTTTAAACAGTGAAAAATGCATTTTGTTATTAAGGCAGTCCGATCCTCAGGTTCTGAAAATCAGCTTTTCAATAATTGAAAATGCTCACAAAAATGTCTTGGATTTCTCAGGATAATGTCTATTTACCCATGGTATTCCTTCAAAGTTCATCAGTGAAGTTTTTCATATTATATAGGGAAAATTATCAAATCTCAAATATATTTTCAGTAAATGTAAATAAAAGCACCAGCTATGGATTTTCTAATTGAAAACTGATCAACAAATATATTACTGGATTCCAAATTATAGATATCCAGGTATTTGGAGAAAATTGCATGTTTTACACACATACAGTATTTTAGTTCTTCTAATTACTTCAATTGTTATAAAATACATAGTGTAAAAAGTTTGTGTAATCATTGCAAGACATCCCAGATCACTTCTAATTTTATATCAGCTAACAAGCATTAGGATCTAATGCTGGATTAGAGGAAATTTGATTTCTCTAAAAATGAATTTATTTTTGTACTTTTGTGGGGTACAATGTCAACTTTTTATGATATCATCTCTAAGTCTTCAAAGAATCTTACATCATTTTGAGATGTATAAAATGAAAATTGTTGCAAGAAAATATTTCAATTTCAAGCTTCATTTTGAGGCTTTATAAATTGAAATAATAGATTTAAGAGTTATTGTTCCTATCTGAGGATCGGATATCCTTAAACAGAATATTATTTACAGATGTTTTAAAGATCATTAATACCAATGTGAAATCTTTGTTAAGTGCCATTGAGTAGCCATCGAGAGAATGTACTGAATTAATTCTACCGTTTTTTTTGTTTACAGGGTTGGCATGTTGTGCATCGAGGTGCATCAATAAAACACCTTAACGCAAGGGCATCCACTCAATAGGTCTTGAAATTTTTTAAAACATACATAAAGGAAATATTCCGTAACTTGAAAAGTGTTGTTGCTTTCCTGACATCGAGAGCATACTTAATAAATACATAAAACACTTGGTAAAGGACTCACATATTTCAACAACGGCCTATTAACTTGAATTCTTTTTAAAGCAGCAGTACTTTCAAGAAACTACATGTACAAGTTATGTAGAAACAATTTATTTCTTAAATGGTCGGCTGACCATAGATGGGCACATTATACGAAAGCTACGCAGAATAGGAAAATGTTACATTACATTGAAATACCTAAACATGTAATATTTAAGTTTACTAATATTATCAGTTACAATTACATTATATAACACTTCAATTAATAAACAGCTATCAAATTAAAGGGTATACTTAGTAGTTAAAATAAAGAAAATGCATAAAGTTTTTAGTAGATTAGAATAAATGTAAATGTTTTTGATCTCGGTGCAACAAAATTTTAAATTTATTTTAAAATTCTGAAAATTAATCAGCAAATAAAATTAAATTGACACATGAGTAGATTGTATCTTTTAAAAATAAAAATAATAAACGCCACAAACGAGGATCGCATATATCTACTCCTCAAGGTCATGAACAGGTAGGTACACTACTGTACTATCATTGCTATATACGCTAACTGGGTTTTAAATGGCAATGAAGCACAGCATTTACACAAATATCTATATAATTTTTGAAAACATCAATATATAGTCTTTGGGTCTTTCCTCCACTTTTTACAAATGTTTGCTCGTTTCTTTGAGTCAAAATACACTCAAATAAATTTTTATAATCGTGTAGCGATGATCCAGAAATAGCAAATAGCATATTTATAGAAAACGTGTGACAAAATATAATATTTTTTACCAAATGATTCGTCCAGAATTGTTTCAAGGCATATTTTAGTAAATTAAAACACAATACCGGAAAAATATTTCCCTTTCCTATATCAAAAGAACCAGAATGATCAATAGAATGCATAAAAATCATCTAATGTGGTATGCAAAACTTAAACAAAATTGATTGTATCAATCTTCCTCAAGAATGCATATATACATGAATTGTATGTTTTGTTTTTTTTGGTTTCATATTTATATTAATATAACTTATAGGTCCGGCTCCAGGGAATTTATGTTGTGCAGTGGGGCCGCCTTCGTGAGAAAGACAGAGCTAGAATTCTAGTATCCGGTACAGAAGAAGAGATGAGGACCCTTATGATCGAGAGACAAAGCTCATCATCTCCACTATCTCCGACACCGCCATCGTCACCGCGGTCCCCAACACCACCACCGCAGAGAGAACCTTCCAAGAAAAGACAACCGAAGACGACACAAAGAAGACAAAGGTATGGTATTCTTAACTATATTAGATTACCCTAAGACTCCTAAAATTTTCTCTTTTCCTTCAACCACAGCCATTTTAAAGCATCTAATTGATGTAATTCGTAATTTTTTTATTTTATTTTTTATTTTGCTTGAAGAATTAAAGCATTGATGTTTTCATTAATACATGTAACGGAACATTCTTTCAGTTTTTTCTTTGGAAACATTTAGGATAGCCCCCCCCCCCCCTTTAATTGCATGTTTATTTAAAGCAAGAAATATAACTGACAACTTTTAAATACTGTATAGGGAATTAATTTCACGGGTTGTAATTTTCACGTTTTTCTCTCCTCGGACACGATCGCGGTTTGTTGAATTCGCGGAAATGTTATATAATAAAAGTTACCTCCCTTGTCTATATCTGTTAAATCCATAGCATAGCTAGAACGACATTAATCAGAGTTATGTATTCACTTCACGAACAACAGGGTAGATTTGTACAAAATAGTTAGATTTTATAATTAATTGACGATTAATTTAAAAGAAAGTGCAGTTATTAAAAACGTCGAATGACTTTCCTATATGCTATTACGATGAGTGCATGTACACCCCAAGATCTTCTACCCGAAGCGATAAAAACCACTGGACGGTAATAAATATGTTAATTAATGTAGGTCTACGAAATAATATCCTTTCACATCTTCAGCAAATTCGATAGTTATTTGAATGCTTTCTTAAAACCAAAATATCGATAAAAACTAATACGCAGTGATAATGCAGGTAACAAATACAAGTGGTAGCATCAGTTACGCACGGGTAATCAAATCCCATGACCCACGTGTTTTGATTGATGAAACATGTAGCGTTGGCTATTAAAAAAGCTTTTTAAGAAATATAGGGTATTATATGCTGAGTTGAATTAAAGTAAAGCGTGATAATTAAGATAATTGAATGACAGGTACTACTCCTAATTACTGAAATGACCATGTACTGCAGGTATATATACCTATCGTAGTCTATTCTCAAATTTCCAAATAAAACATGGAGGTCATTGAAAACTTATTCACTGTTTCTTGAATTCATGTATTTATTAACACCGTGAATATAGCGAAAATTAACACTGCGAGTTATTTTCCCACTATACAGTACTGCAAAATTGAAGTAATGCCATCTCAGAACATTTTTAAATGTAGTGATTATAACACAGATTTATATTTTGAAATAAGAAGGATATTTTTATACTTGAGGCACAAACCGAGGTAACATTACTTTTACTGTACAGGGAGTCGTAAATATTAGTCAGATAAAAAAAGGGGGCATAAACAACACTAAAGAGTTATTTATCACCTCTCTGGTCTAAACAAAGCTGATGTTTAGGTATTAAGACTTATCATTA